TTCCTTTTCATACTCTGCTTTCTTGGACATGAACAGTGGAAGGCAAACGTGTCTCTGTCCACCTGGTAGGAATTGCCTGCTTTTTCCTACTGCAGAGTCCATGAGGCAAATGAGAAAGGGAGACTGAAGAAGTCAGAAAGACTTGTGGTGAAGTGACATGGAACCACTTAGGAAGCTTTCCCCTGTTGCAAGCATGTTGTCTGATTTTCAGCTCATAACTTTGTGGTACAAAGCAAGGGGAGTGCTTAATGTTTGGAGAGATGGGTGAGAACTAAGAGTTGGGTTAGAAATAACAAAACTCTCCTCCTGCAGATTTAAAGCCAACGGGGGCTTTAAGAAGTGTCCTGGGAAGGAGAGATGTAAAACAAGAGCCTGGAGCTCCTGGGCCACAGATCTGCACATGAGCTTTTGCTCAGCCCCATTATTCTCCTACAAGTTAAATGGTTCTGCAGTTTTCCTGTTGGGAGGGGGTGTGTAGTACATACCAGTCTGGATTGCACAGTGGAGTGAAAAACAATCTACCCTGACTATGAGAATGAGTATGAAGTATGAGAAATCTGCTGCTGGGGCGGTGCTTTTGTTCCCTCTTCAGGATGGACCTTTCCCCCTTTCAAAATCTGGGAAAGTCCTTTCTGTGCACAGGACATTATATGGCACCACGGATATAAGGAAAACCTTTTTAACCATGAGGAGAGCCAGGCAGTGGAGTAGGGTTCTGAAAAAGCTTGTGCAATCTCTGCTCTTAGAGTTGTCCAAGACAAGACTGAGTAAAGCTCTAAGCAGCCTAAACTGACACAGCTGATCCTTTTGGACTAGATACCTCCTGGGGTCCCTTCCAAGTGGAATTATCCTGTCATTCTACTGATATTTTTTGTTTGGTACAGAGTCCTGGGCCAGGACCCCAAGAAGGTGAGAACACGGCCAGAGAATTGTCCTCCTCCCCTTTGAGCTTGCTCTTGTCCTGCTGTCTTCCTCTCAGCTGGAAGGGGCAAGGAACATCTAACAGGCCTGTACTGTCAATGCCAACGCCTCTTCTGGCAGCAGGGGGAGGCCAGAATGGACTCATGGCAGATCCACAAAATCGACAAAGAGCAGCCAGGTCACCAAAGCAGTTGGGACACGTGTGTTCTGCCAGTGACCAGGCCCAACAAGAATGATGCAGCCAGCAGAAAGAGGAACCAATCCACAGACTGTATTGTAATCAGGAACACCGTGACATGAATGACCACCAGGGGTACAAACAGATCAATCAGCTGGGACATAAACGACACCACCCCCAAGGATCCCACAAAAGATGTGACTGGGCCCACAACAGGTGGTACAAACGGGGAACCAGCATTTCCCACAGTTGGCATGGGAAACAGCCAGACCAGTAAGTTAAATGCATAAGAGAAAGTTGCCCACATGGCCACTCTCACCCGACCAGCCCACGTTCACAAAGGTCTAAACAGACCAGGGCCCAGTTCCAGGAGAGTCAGGAGGTCTGCCCTGAACCAGGAAGCTCTGTGGAGTGCACTCCACAGACAGACACTCCTGACTCCCTGCCAGTGGTCCCAGCTTTTATCCCCAAGCAGACCCCTGACCTTTGTCAGCTCCCTGCGGGACCCCTGGGGCTCATTTCCCTTCTGGCTCTCCCTGCAGGGCCGGCCCCACCCTGGGGGGAAGCTCTAAGGCAAACTCACCCCTCTGGGTGAAGGGCTGTGGGAATCACCCATATGCCAACCTTAATTCAGGGCTCGGGGTTCAAACCCCAGCATTTCACCCTGCCTCAGCTGAGGGTTGAGCACACTTTGCTCTAAGAACCTGTTAGCTGGTGGAGACACAGTTGCTATCTCATTGATCACATCTGTAGGCACATGCCAGTGTCCATCCTGCCCTTTTATTCCCAAGAACAGAACCTCTTGTAAAGGTCCCTTGACCTTGCTCTTCTTTATGGTGAACCCGGCTCTCAGAAGAATCTGAATTACTCTGTTTTCTTTCTCAATCACTTCTTCTGCCTTGTTGCCCTAAACAATGATGTCATCAATACAGGAGCCTTAGGAGCCTGAGCAATAAAGCCACCCACATCGATCCCTGGTAGGGAGCAGATGTATTCCCTCATCTTCTCCACAAGACAGCTTACCCAACAAAGTAATTGCAGGCAGGACATAACAGAAACCATGATTTGCATTATCATGTTCCAAAGCTAAGCAAAATAGAGATAAGCCACAGTCAACAAACCCGTGACCAGCACAGAGGTTTGCACCCTAGCAGCTACTATGGCTAGAAAATAAAACTGC